CGCTGCCAGGCCCACGGTACCGCCCCTGAAGGGCCAGGTCGCAGGACGTCTCTGGTCCCGAGTGCCTGCCCTGCTGGGAGCCCATCCCCCACCTGTGCCAGTTTCTATAAGCATGACAACCCACCCCCCCAAAAAAGACCTTCACCTTAGGAAAACAGTTCATTTACTTAACTATTCTAAATGTCGCGCAACAATAGATGCGTGTTGAGATGCCAAATAATTAGAGGCTATTTCCAGATCAAGTAGGTTGAGAATTTCTGCCAATCTAGAAAGCTAAGTGAGTAGCCCATGTAGACTGGAAAAGGTGATTCCTGTGGAGGGTTCATTTGTTTACGTTTTTTCCGATTTGCATGGCCATGTATCCTAACACACTAACTCAACTCAAACTCCGAAAATTTAACATTTTAAAAGATTTTCTAAGCAACACTTGGAAAAAAAAGTTTCCTCAGTAACCTTGTTTCTGAGGATATGTCAGTGTTAAAACATGGACAGTAATATGTCACGCATTTTAGTTTAAAATCAAAATATACATTACAAAGCTAACACATGCTCAATATGAACAATGAGGGAAAAAAGCACAAAGAACAGTGCCTGCTACATTGTGGTGAATATTCTAATAACAAAAATAGGCTGATAACACACATTCAAAAAGTTCATAGAAAATGATATTTAAACGTTTATTTTGAAATCTATGCATAGATTTTTCATAATACATATTTGCCATTAACTTTTTTTTTGAGAGTTTTTTCTTCTTTCTTTTTTTTTCTTTTTTCTTTTTTTTTTTTTTTTTTTTCAGTAATATGTCACGCATTTTAGTTTAAAATCAAAATATACATTACAAAGCTAACACATGCTCAATATGAACAATGAGGGAAAAAAGCACAATTTTTTTTGCTATAGGGTGCCTCTCTGTCTCTGTCAGAGACCCTGAGCGGGTGATTTCTCAGGGGTGATATCTATGGGCAATCCTTTCTTCTCCATTCTCCCCCTGGGATCTTGGCCACACAGGCACACATGTCTGGCGTGTTTTAAGTTGCCAAGTTTGGGAATCGAACTGAGTCCAGGGTTCGGGAATCGAACCGAGTCCACCAACTTAACCACTACACCATCTGCTGGTCCCTCCCATTAACTTTTTAAGACCGCTTGTACTGTTTTGGAATGCTTTTTTACAAAAGCAGTATGTCTTTGTTTATAGTACATTTCAGTTTCTAAAAATCTCTTTAGATGAGGAACAGATAATTCTGAAGTCCAGGTAAATAAAATAAGCCCCCCTGGGGAATGATTTCTCACTCTCCTGCAATCACAAGCACTCTATATCAAACTGAAAAATGAAATATGCAGTAGAATCTAAGAGATAGTATTTCTAGATGCAACTGCTCAACAGATTCGTGGACAGCATGGCGGTTGAATTGCCATTATCCGCACTGTCACCAAATATCAGATTCTTAGCTATGCTGTGTGTTAAGATGTGGTGGGACTGAAGCTTGAAAACACACACCCAATGAGAGCTGCTAAATGCTGGAATGCCATAAATCAGTTCACCCCAAATGACAGTTAATAGCAAGTCAGATTTCATTTATTTCATCCTTGTTCAGGTTTTCCATATAACTGCACTGGCAACAGTTTATATAGTTTTTTTGTTTTGTTCTGTTTTGTTTTTGTTAATTGGGTCATAATGATCAAAGTTGTGGCTTAAGATGTGACAGTTAGGGGCCAGCAGGTGGCATGGTGGTTAAGGTTCTGAACTCCCACATGGCTGTGGTTCAAGGTGCAGACCTGGTGGCTTGCTTTCTCACTTTCTCTTTCTGGTAAGCACACATGCCCTATAGCAAATTTTTAAAAAATAATAATAAATAAAATAAATAACTCTTTTCTAAAAAGTATGGCATTTAGACACATTGTAATCATGAGGAGCATCTAGCATAAAGCTCCCAGTTTATTGCTCTAAGGTGAACATCCCCATTACTGCTTTTTTCTGAGTACCTGCTAGCCAAATAGCATGGGAGGGGACAGTGGAGGGGAAGAGAATTGAAATGGGGGCAGCTCTAAGTAGGTGCTGAGGAATTAGGATGCAGAAATCCTGCAGATGCCTCTCAGAGATTTATGCAACCTTTATTGTTAAATCAGTGTTTTTTTTATCCACCATTATTAGTAATAATTGGAACACAATAGGTAAGTATGTCCCAAGTTACTCGTTTACACAGTGGTTTTAAAGACTGTCCTACCCTCTCTAACCCCATTCAAAATCAGATCTAGACAACACTTAATTAAAGATAGACAACTCAGGGGACCAGCAGTTGGCATAATAGTTATGTTGCTGGACTCCCGTGTAGTCGACCATGGTTCGAGTTCTGGACCCAGTGGTTTAAACTCAGGCCGGCGCGTGTGTGTGCATGCACAAGATCCCGAGAGGAGAATGGAGGAGAAGGGACTCTGGCGTGACCATCCCCCCTGGAGGTGATTTCTTGCTTTCTGTCTCTGTGTCTCTGTCTTTTTTGGCGAACACATGCGCCCTATAGCAAAAACCTCTCCAAAAAAAAAAAAACTCAGGAAGCTCTTTGGTCACCATCTGGGAGATCGTGTGTAAAACACTCAAGATCCTGAGCCTTGGTTCATCATTTATAAAGTCATCATTTGTAAAACCTAAATATGGAGCACCTTTTATTTTTAAAGACCATGATTCTTTGAAATTAAAAAAAAAAAGTTACACTAGAAAATTACTTCCTTATTTCACAAAGCCCTTTAAAAACATTCAACTCCAGTGTATCTATTGAACACTAAGGCCAGGGTAATTACTGCGTATTACTGTAAATAGAGTAAGTATGGTAATAGGAGGAAATCATTTATCAGTACCTTACTTGTCTTTTCCCTGGTCTTGTCTAGAATCAGAATGTGTGTACTCACAGGCTACTGGGCTATACAACACAGCACCTGTTGTGGAAACTGAATTTCAACCCCAAAGATAGATGTCTAAGTGAGTTGGCCACCTCTGTGGTAGTATCATCTTCCGCTTGCCAATGTCTTCTGACTTTTCAGACGTAAAAAGTGCCTTAATAGCATTATATGCCACTCAACTTCAACAATTTTAATCCTCTTTTTAGTTTATCGGCAGAGTAAGAGGACTAGCAGTCACCATTCTAAGAATGTGTTCTTAAGCTTTGTTGAGACTATAAAATAAAATTATTTTGTCCTGTGTGTGTGTGCGTTTTAAGTTTTCAATAGGGTATGTGTGCTTGTTAGAAAGAAAGGGAGAGTGAGAAGTCACCCTTCAGGAGAGATGACTACGCTGCAATCCTTCCTCCTCCATTCTCCTCTCGGGATTTTGGGCACACGTGCACATATGCCCACTGTGATTTCTTCTTTTCCTTTTTAAAAGAGAGATTTTTGCTATAGGGCACGTGTGCTCCCCTGAGGGGATGGCCATGTAGCAATCACTTCTCCTCCATTCTCCTCTCAGGATATTGGGCATGCATGCACACACACCTGGCATGAATTTTAAGCTGTCAGGTTAGGGACTCAAACAGTCGTTGACTACGTGGGAGTCCAGCAATGTAACCATTACACCATCTGCTGGTCCCTACGCCCAGTGTGATTTTCAAGCCACCAGATCCAGGGCTCAGACTGCAAAGTTGGCTGTATGTGATCTAGCCACTTTAATTTCTAGGCCACCTGCAGGCTCTACAATAAAATATTTTAATCGAATCCCTCAGCAGATAGTTCTTCAAACATAATATCCTCTCATAGCATTCTTCAAATAACTCTTTAATGTGTTCTGAAATTCACCTCCCACCTACCACATACACAGGGACATGCAAATTTCCATGATAGGAACATGCTGATTGTCCTACAGGTGGCCACACATTTATGTATAAAATATGCATGCATTTTTTTTCTGAGAATTCTAAAGAAATCACATTCCAAGAATATGTTAACAAAAGTACTGTAAGTAGAAAGCAGTCTTTAGAACTTGAGTAACCCCTCGTCTGTAATTTTAGGGCATTCTGGAACGTTTAAATGCTGGAGAGGTTGTGATTGGAGACGGAGGGTTTGTCTTTGCTCTGGAGAAGAGGGGCTATGTGAAGGCAGGACCCTGGACCCCAGAAGCTGCCGTGGAGCACCCAGAAGCAGGTTGGTACAGAGCTCTATGTGAAGCACAAATCTGGGAGCATGCCTTCAAGCAGACACATTCATGCATGTTTCAGATATGTCATTACCTGTGGGCACTGTGCTTGGTGTGCCCATAAAGGTTTCCATGTTGGATAAGCACAGCTGCACTCCTGTCAGCTCTTAACTTTCTGGCCCCTGCCCCTCACTCCAGATGAATCTAGAACCAGGCTCATTGACTTCCTCTCTGTCCCTCCCTCTCTCACCAATCCAGTGATCCACCTAGCATTGTGCCTACTGATGGCCTTGATCTCGTCTCTAATGAACTTTTCCTCTACCCCCACCCCCGGTGTCCTGCCCCTAGACCTTGTCATCACCGAGAGTGTCCACTTGTGAAATCACCATTATAAGCGCCCTGCCTGGCCACCACCTCCTGTCTTTTCAATTCAGTGTTTGTTATTCATCTCCCCCATATGTCCACCCTTTTCCCCTCACCCACTGTCCGTTCCATGGAGATCACATCACAATTACTATCCTGCAGATAAGCTCTTCTTCTGTTATGTATTCACCAACTAGTTAAATTTATTATTTTCTATAATCCTACTGAAATTCAACTAGTCAAGTAGTATTTAACAACTCAGGTATGTTCTGAGAAACGCATCCTTGGGCGATTTTGTCATTGTGCAAACACCGTAGAGTGCACTAACAGAAACCTAAATGGTATCGCCTACTACGCACCTACACCCTATGGAACAGCCTCTTGTGATCTGACAGGACCACCATCATACACGCGGCCCATCATTGGCGGAAGCCTCAGTATGCTCATGAATAGGGAGACTGTATCTCCCTATTCTGCTCCTTATTCTCACTTAACTTGTTTGACCACAAATCTTTATGGCCAGGAGGGCACGTGGGATGGAACCTGCGGGGATAAATGCTGTCTTCCAAGACAGAGGCCTCTATTATCCTCAAGCAAGGGAGGAATGGGCATTTGTGCAAGCCCAGAGAGTTCAGGGGGGCCCTGCGTTTCCAGAGTTCACCCATATGTCTTCACCCCAGATCTAAGGGCACTATTTCTTCCTAGGCAGGGTCCTGACTTTGGCATAGAGGGCCTGCCTGGTTGAGAATTCAAGCTCTCAGAGCTCTGCTCATAGTCACTCAGCCCTGAGCCGCACGCTCAGCTCTTTCTGCTCTCCGGCTGCAGGAGATGAGTCTTTTATGTGTCTCCCAGGAGCCTCTGGCTTTCATATGTTGCCTTCAACTGGGGTAGTGACCCTTAGCCTTTCACTGTCTTTTTCTAGTGCACTGAGGGTGCCCAGCAACAGCCATCTGAGTCCCTTGTCCTTGTAATTCCTACTTCCCTGGAACCTCAGAAACATCCGAGATAGTACACCTGTTAGTGCCCTCCAAGGGCCGCTCACCCCGAGTCAGCACAGGTGAACAATTGTACCCGTAGAGCGCAGGGATCTGTCAGTGCTGCTCCATCACCAGCGGTGGGTGGGAGCTCCTTACCAGCTGGCGAGAGGGAGACCTGACTCTGAACTGACACTTGCAATTTCCTAGGACTAATCCTGGCTCCGGCTGTTGCAGTCAGGTCACCTAAGAAACCTCAGTCAGTCCTTTTGGGAGCTCTGGAATAGTGCAGGTCCTTCAGAGTTGTCCCAAACTGAAGAATGAGGGAAGGGGGCTGGATCTTTTTGTCCTTCTTCTAGCAAACCTACTGCTGCATGCAAGCCAGCAGCTTCCCACCCCCTCCTCTAGCCCCAAGAGGGGGCTCAGCCTTGGGTTAGACTGTCCCTTTGACCTAAGGCACTTCAGGAGGGTATCTCAGCTGGGAGCCATCAGTAAAGTAAAACTGAGCCTCTGGGTTCTAGGCACACTGTTACCGTCTGCGATGCAAAGAGATGAGGACAGGCTCATCTCAGGTCTTAGCTTCTCCAGGGCCTGAAACCCAGTGTCCTAGTAATTTCCTAGCCCCTGGTGCAGTGACTCCCAGACCTTTGGATTGTATAAGCCTCTGAAACTTCGAAATAAAAAAAATAAGAATTATTTATTTAACTTTATTATTATTATTAAATTTGCTATAGGACACATACACTGACCAGAGAGAGAGAAAGGTAAAGAGAGAAAGTCATCAGCTCCAGGACTCGAGCCATGGTGGATCACGTGGGAGTCCAGCACCTTAACCACCATGCCACCTGCTGGCCTCTCAAAATAAATTTTTGGCAGCTGGTGTAGAATTATTGACTACTTTGACCCCCAACAAAACAAACACCATCTAAGTCTATCATTTTATAAAATAAATATTTTCTTCAAAATTTGCTACAGGGCACATGTGCGTGATCACTGGAGAGAGACAGAGAGGGAGAGAGAAAGTGAGAAAGCACTCCCCCACCCGGGGGGTGGGCAGTGAGGTATGGCCATGCTTCAATTCCTTCTCCTCCACTCTACTCTTGAGATTTTGGGGGGACTTCACATGGCCGGGCTTGTTTCTCAAGCCGCCAGTTCAGAACTGGAACCACAGAGTTGGTCATATGAGATCTCGCTGCCATAACCACCATGCCACCTGACTGGCCATAAAGTAAGTATTTTCTATCTAATCACAGGGTTACTCAACAAGGTTACTCAATAAGAATCAGTTGGGGGGACCAGCGGTTAGCGTAATGGCTATGTCACTGGACTCCCATGTAGTTGACTGTGGTTCGAGGTCCGGACTGGGTGGCTTAAACTCACACCGGGTACGTGTGCGTGCGTGCCCAAGATAATGAAGGAGAAGCAACTGTGGTGTGACCATCCCCCTGGGGGATGATTTCTCGCTTTTTGTCTCTGTCTATCTGGCAAGTGCAAGCACCCTATAGCAAAAACCTCTCCAAGAAAAAAAAAAGAAAAAGAATCAGTTGGGAAGCCTTTAAAAAAAATGCCTGTGTCCCCCACCAACCAAATAAATTAGAATATCTGCGGTTTTGACTTTTGTATCCATAAGATTTTAAACTTATGGGCAATCTAATGAGCAACCAGCATTTGGGACCACTATTTTAGAGTAAGGATAATTCTTTAAGTTGAATACACTTAACTATACGGAAAGAAAACACACACACTGTCTTTTCCTCAACTGATGAAACTGCCACTTGGCATTTGTCCATGGACCTCTGTTTGGGAAACTTACCCCAATTATTCTACTCTGCTACCATTATTATCTTTCTTTTTTTTCTAATTATTTTATTTAACTTCATTTATTTATTTTAATTTGACCAGAGAGGGACAGAGTGTGTGTATATGTGTGTGCGTGAGAGAGAGAGAGAGAAAGCAAGCCGCCAGGTCAGGGACTCAAACCATGGTGGGCCATGTGGGAGCCCAGTGCCCTTGACCACCACGCCACCTGCCCGTCCCAGAATTATCTTTCAAAAACACCAGGCTGATCACATCACTCGATTGCTAAAAACCTTAGATGTCTCCTCAGTACCCGTGGTCTAAAGCCTAGACTCCTTGAGATGATGCGCTGGGCCATTTTTCTTTGTCCTCCCGCCTTCCTTACAACTGCACCTCCCAGCACTCTTCTTCTTTTTCTTCTTTTCTTCTTTTTTAATGCAATTGCCAGAGGATGAGTGTACTTCCCAGAGAGAGAGACAGAGAAAGAGAGAAAGTACCCCCAACAGATCACACCACAATTCTTTTTCTTTTATTTCTCCATCCCAGGATTTCACTGCGCACATACATGTACCTGGGATGTTTGTCAAGGGGCTAGGCAGGACTCGAACCATAGTCAGCCATGTGGAACCCAACTCCCCATGCACAGGGCTTGATCACTGCACTGTGGGTCTGGTCCCCAACACTTCTTTAATATGTCCTCATCTCCAGCTGCTTACACTACTCGCCAGTCCCCCAGATGCGAAGCCCGTTCCTGCCTCCTGGTCTTTGCTCAGGCTGTCCCCTCTGCCAGGACTGCCCTGCCACACCATCTCTGCCTGGCAAAAATGCTGAATTCTTCCAAGTGCAGCTCAGATGATTCCTTCTCTCAGGGACCTTGGCCCCTGTTGTTACCCCATGTCCATGGCAGAAATACTCCCACCTTCCTGCAGAGCCCAACCACACAGTGCTGTCACCAGTCATTCCTGGACAGACGGCAAAGTTCTTCAAGGACAGGACAGTAGTCCAACCTTGTATCCGTAAGTGCCTTCCACAAATACAGTCAATGAAGGATGGACGCAATGGACGATGAACAACATGAGCAAGCGCAGGGCTGCAAGCACCCCCAACATCGATCCACAGAGTGGTAGCAGGTTTGAGAAGTTGCCAAGAGAGCCCAGAGCTGCTTCTCATTAGCCCCAACATGTTCAAGTCCCAAGCAGTCATTTTCATGTTTATCTGACAGCTTTTTGAAACACTGTGGCTTAATAAACTGATAAGACTTATATTTTTTCTCTTGCAATCTCCCAGTTCGCCAGCTTCATCGAGAGTTCCTCAGGGCTGGGTCGAATGTCATGCAGACCTTCACGTTTTATGCCAGTGAGGACAAGCTGGAGAACAGGGGCAACTACGTTGCAGAGAAGTTCTCAGTGAGTAAAACCATCCCTGGAACGCTTAGAAAGGCACTGTAGACATGGATTCTGTCACTGGAGTTCTTGTAGGGGAAAATGTTATCAAAAACAAATATGTTATGAAAAACCTTATCAAAATTTTGGTTCTTTTTTTTTTTTTTAATGGTTTCACTTCTAATACTATAAAAATGGCAGATGTGTGTATAACACATCTGAGTTTTAAACTAAAGTCCCCTCAAGTTAGCAGAAAGGCATTTCATGAAGCAGATTAAAGAAGAGGTATTTACATCAAAAGAGGGCTGGCTCTTGGGTGTGCGGTCCACTCGATAGTGGTATGTGTGGGTGGCCCTGATTTGACCATGATGCAGTGCATAGATGTTTTGGGGAACCACATCTTACCCCAAATTTATACAGCTACTATAATAAATCAGAAGTGATAACAGAAGAGATATTTAATGATTAATCATTCTCCCATCCTTGACCGACTACGTGAGAAAGGGGGTAGCCTGAAAAATCGGTCCTTATGGTCTCCCACTGTGGCACTGTGCAAGGGAACAATGGCCAGCACTAGCAGCTGGTGACCTGCAGGATGGCCTGACTCAGCTACCACTACCCATCAGCGGTCAAACACCTTCACCTCTAAGACGAAAGCCCATGAGGCTGTGTGACCTGAAGTGCTGGGTCTGGGATTTTCACTTGTTTTTTGAGTATAAGGATCAATTTTTAATGCCTAAATAATTAGCAAACACCTTACCAGTTACGCATTTATCAGTGAATGAGAAAATACATAATGACACAAAGTCCTGAATTCTGTAGTCATGTTAATTGAATTTTAATCTTATTAATCATAAAAGCAAACCTGCGTAATCAGCACCGTCACTGCTGTTTTCTAAGTCTGTTCTAACCGCAGCTTAGGCATTGGCGATATCAGATCCGGTCCTTGTCTGCAAAACCTTTCACCCTCTCACAGATGGCTGATCTAATGTTACATCATGGGTACTGCAGAGATTGTTATGACAGTTATCTTTGCATCTACTCACCTTAGGGGGAAGCATCACCATGGTAAACATATAACTGAGGTGTGTGCATTTGAATAATGACTTGACTTGACTTTCACATGAGAACTTAAGTGTATCACCCTATACTCATCCATTTTAGGGGCAAAAAGTCAATGAAGCTGCTTGTGACATTGCCCGGCAAGTGGCCGACGAGGGAGACGCTTTGGTAGCAGGAGGCGTGAGTCAGACACCTTCATACCTTAGTTGCAAGAGCGAAGCTGAAGTTAAACGAATATTTCAGCAACAGTTAGAGGTCTTTATGAAGAAGAATGTGGACTTCCTGATTGCGGAGGTAAAGACAGTTGTGATCAAAGATCAAATCATTGCACTCCACATATTTCCTCACCTTGCTCTTGTGAGGACTGGGTGGGGTCAGGTGCCATCATGACTAGCAAGAGTAATGTTTAGTTTCTGGAATCTTTTTTCAACTTAAGCCTTCTGCTATATTTGACTGACTTAATCCCATAGATTGGGCAGTCCGAAACGTCACAACATACTTCTGCACAGAAAAGCACATCATGACTTTCCTGATGACCCCATAGTTTCCCAGACCTTTTGGCTGCAATTCAAACCAGTGACTGTTTTATTTTATTCTGCTCAAAAGCTGCCAGTGGATCACAACTGATGAATACTCACCAAGGAAAATTTATTAAGCAATAGGATATGGTTTGAACTTGTTTTGGAAGAAACAAGATTAACCTACTCTACCCTGAACTCATTTCAGTACTTTGAACACGTCGAAGAAGCTGTGTGGGCAGTCGAAGCCTTGAAAGCATCTGGTAAGCCCGTGGCAGCGACCATGTGCATCGGCCCAGAGGGAGATCTGCACGGCGTGCCTCCCGGCGAGTGCGCCGTGCGCCTGGTGAAAGCAGGTGATGCCAGATTTCTGCCCCTTTGCAATTAGTGAGTTGGAAAAAACATACAAATGCGCACCCATCTGTGAATCAGTGCATACTACCTTTGTTAGCAGGAAGTCATCGATTTACTTTTTTTGAATAGTGGTAAAATTATTATTAAATCCCAAAGGGAAAAAAAGGCTTAAGAACTACACGTGCGCACACACACCAGTCTTTGAAATGGGCAGCTCAGCCTCTGCTGGAGATTTAACACCTAGAAAGGAGAAGACTGTTTTGGTAAGTTAAAGGAAGCATTGGGGGACCTGCAGATGGCATAATGGTTATGTCACTAGACTCTCATGTGGTCAACCACAGTTTGAGTCCCGGATCCAGAGGCTTAAAATTCCTGCCGTGCATGTGTGCGTGCGTGCCCAAAATCCCAAGAGGAGAATGGAGGAGAAAAGATTGCAGTATGACTATCCTCCCTGGGTGGGGAGTGATTTCTAGTTTTCTGTCTCTCTGTCTTTCCAGTGAGTGCACATGCCCTATAGGAAAAATCTCTATGAAAAAAGGAAGAAGTGTTGGAATAAATTACATTTTCTTTTGCACGTACCTCACAAGTCTGAGTCTTTAAACATTAATAACTTTAAAGTTAGTTGCCCCTCTCTGCCAAAATTTTTCTAATCTCATAAGTGACTAGTATGCTTTGCACTTTGTAATTGGTATAATGAATCAAAAAGATCTTCAGTATGAAATACTGTCTCGCTTTAAACCCAGGGAATAACTGTGTGTCAGCAGAAGAGTCTGACTCACTCTGTGTAATAGGGAAATTCTGACTGGCTAGTTGTTTAATAGCATTTTTATCCAACTCCTGATTTTTCATGAAAGGCACTTTCCTACTTGTCATTACCAGGAACATATTTGGATTCATGAATAATATTGTATAATCCTAATTTTTTTATGAGAAATATAAAAATAGGGAGAAGCAAGTTTACTTTCGTTGAAAAGGTCAGAGAAGGCCTTCATCATCCCCATGGTTCATTGACAAGGATGCTCGGCCTGCTCTTCACACCTCCCTCATTGTCTTGTTCAAGTTGATAGCCACAGTTTTTGATACCACTGCCTCTGGTTTTATTCATCATAGCATTTCCTTCTTAGTTTTCTAATGAATGTCTAACCCTGTCACTAGACTGTAAGATCCATAAAGGCCAGGACTATGTCTGTTTGGTTCGGCACTGAGCGCCCTGTACCCAGCAAGGCACCTAGCACGTAACAGACCTTTAATTAATATCTGACTGACAGATCTCATTCATCTTCCAATATTTAGTTAAAATTCTACCTGCCTGTATCCTTACATAATCATTGCTATTCCCTCCTCTCAGCTCTCTGGCACTTTCTGTTTAGACAATACATTTAGGATATTCTCAGTCAATATTTTCAGTCTGTGAGAATGTTAATAGGTTTGTATGGTCAAATACACCTAGAAAATGCCTTTTTAAACCAAGTTGAGCAGTATCATTCTTGTGGAGCTTGCTAGTCTTTTATGGCAGTCTCCAAGAAGAGGATGTAGTGAATAGCTCCAGTTTCACTTAATCGATCACGGGACCTTAGTTTCATGGACCAGACTTTGGGAAGCCCTGTCACACACACACACACACACACACACACACACACATAGTCATCAGAAAAGTCATGAGGTATTTTTCTGTTTTTATATGCAAATATATATACATAATTTTATGTCTATAACTTCTCACAAGAAGATTTACAGATATCTAATAAATAGTCAACATACGATTAACTCATTAGTGTAATGAAATTAAGCAATGTATGAGACTCTCTGGCAACACAAAATGAAAAAAAGAGAGAAGAGAAAGAGAAGTGGTCAAGGTCCAATGGAAGATGTTAAGCAAGCTGTTGAATATACACCTGTGAACCAATTATATGTGAACCAAAATGTATTTTGGTTCACATATAATTAAAAAAGCAATGATTGCAAAGAAAGGTTTTTTTTTTTTTGACAAAAAAAAAAAAAGGACCAGATTAGAGAGAGAAACTTGGGAGAGATCCAGATAGAGGTGGTACTTAAAGATCTGAGAGTAAAAGGGAATTGGAGAAGACAAGATGACGTGGTGAGATCCTTGGATGCGACAGAATGGAATTTCAGCCTTGAGGACACACACACACACATGCACACACGCAGCCAGGGGGTAGAAGCAACACTCAGCAATGTGTGGGCAGTCTCAGAAACTAAGAGAAGGGTGTGCAGTGAAGGAGGAAGTGGTCCACTAGGTTGAATGCTAGGTCGAGTTCTGCTGATACATTCAGTACGGTGAGAACAGAGGAGCCACTGCCGGATTTGACAAGATCAAGGTCATTGGTAACCTTGACGAAAGTTGCTGTCAGGAGAATGAATGAACAGTGAGGCCTAGTTGGAACAAGAATGAAGAGCTAACTGCACACCTCGCCCATTGGGTATCACTGAGACTTTTGCCACTGAGCACCGGATGGCACAAGTTGTGGCCTCAGCTCTGCTGCTTCTGGGATCTGAAAGTTGGTGCCATTTTTACTTCATCCTGACCAGCTCTTGGTATCTCTATGTCCAAGACATAATATCCTAGGCCATAGTCCATCAGAAATCCTTTTTGGGGACAGCCAGGTGGCGTGGTGATTAAGACTGCTGGATCCTACATAGCTGACTATGGAGTTTGAGTCCCAGACCCAGCATCTTGAAAAACATGCTGGGCGCATGTGTGTGCATGCTCAAAATCCTGAGAGGAAAATGGAGAAGAAAGGATTGCAGTGTAGTCATCCCTGCTGTGTGGTCAACCTCCTCCTGGGGCATGCTTTCTCACTTTCCCTCTCTCTCACTGTCTGTCACTCTCTGTTTCTCTCTGGCTAGTGCACACACCCTATAGCATTTAAAAAAAAATCCTTTTTGGAGGTAGAAATAACCCAAGGCCCCATCAATATATGAATGGATAAACAAAATGTGGTGTATTCATAGAATGGAATATTATTCAGCCATTAAAAAGGAGTAAAGTTCTTATACATGTTACAACAAGAGTAGACCTTGAAAACATCATGCTAAGTGAAATAAGCCAGTCACAAAAGAACAAATATCATGATTTCACTTACGTTAAATATCTGCAATGAGTATATCCACAGAGACACAACATATATTAGAGGTTACCTTGGCTAGGGAGAGAGGACAAATTGGCAGCTATTGCTCAAGGGGTCTAGAGATTGATTCTTTGGAGGCAATTTTGTAAATAGTGATGATGGTTGTATAACATTATAAATGTAATGATTGTCCACTGAAGCTTATATTTAAAGCTTTAAAATAGCAAATTAGATGTGATATATATTGGCTCATCAGAAAAGTCATGATGTATTTTTCTATGTTTTTCTATGCAAAAATGTGTCATGATTTTTCATATGACCCAATATTTTATCAAAAAATTTTAAATCCAGGGGTAAAAAAGGAAAAGTTCTATTTGGGACGTCCTCCCATTTTGAGAGGTTGGAATAAAAAAAAGATAACGTCCTGTTACTTTCTCAAAGTATCTGGAGAAGGGACCAGCAGTTAGTGTAATGGCTATGTCGCTGGACTCCCACATAGTCGACCGCGGTTCGCATCCCGGACCAGGTGGCTTAAAACTCACACTGGGCGTGTGTGCGTGCGTGCCCAAGATCCCGAGAGGAGAATGGAGGAGAAGGGATTGCGATGTGGCCATCCCCCATGGGGGGTGATTTCTCGCTTTCTGTCTCTCTGTCTCTGTCTGTCTGTCTGGCGAGCGCACGCGCCTTATAGCAAAAAGCTCTTAAAAAGAAAAAAGTATCTGGAGAAGAAAACTTCCAAAATTACATCTAATAATTGCCACAAAAAATCTATTTTGGTTCACATATAATTAAAAATGCAATGACTGCAAAGGTTTTTTTGGACAAAAAAAAAAGGAGATGGTTAAAAAATTTTTTTTGTTTTTTAAGGTTTTCACCACAGGATGTATGTGTTCACTGAGAGATCGAAAGAGAGATACCAAGACAGAGAGAAATCACACACACCTCCTAGGAGGATGGGCCCACAGCAATCTCTTCTTCATTCTCCTCTCGGGATTTTGGTCATGCATGTACACGTACACAGCGTGATCTGCTCTTTAAGCCACTGAGTCCAGGCCTCGAACTGCTGTCTGCCATGTGGGAGTCCAGCGTCTTAGCCACCATATTCCTGCCAGCTACTTAAAACCTGTTTTAATCTCACTGAATCAAGCTTCACAGCAACACATTTTACATGAAAGCTTTGAGATGACAATCTCATACAGTTGTGAGTCTGGGAAGGCTAAAATGGGAATGGGAAGCTTATCAAATGACTGGTAGGAGGCTGGCTCCATAGCATAGTGGTATAGCAGTCCACAGACTGCTCAAGAGAAGCCGGATCCCACATGGCGACTGCAGTTCGAATCTCCAGCCAGGTCAGTCTGAAACACTCTGGGCATGCACACAATTGGCCACAACATAATGGGGAGGAGGCCTGGAGTAGGGGGATGGTGGCATGACCAGACCCTCTGGAGGATGCTTATCTTCCTCCCTCTCACGTGGTGCCTATGAGTACTTCATCGTGAATTAAAAAAAAAAAAAAAAAAAAAGGCTGATAGGCTGTTGACCACATTGAGAAGCTAAAGTCAAAGGATTTTTGATATTTTCTTTTTGAACCACAATTTCTACACACAAAACACATTTCTAAGAAGCACTTTTCCTACATTACCTTCTGTTGTTATGCCCAAGGAGGCCAGTCACGTTATTAAACTGATCTGGTCAAAGGGAGCATTTACTGACAGCTCGCAGGAGCGGTATGGTAAACACAAAAGCTATCTAGCAGCTGGGAGAGCTGAAAAATGATTGTGCTTGCAACATAATGTCAGACATTGAAAAATAGACTAGTAAAAGTTGAAGAAAAGAAAACTAATAATGATTAAAAAAAAAAAAAAGATGGACAGCCAAATGTGCACAAATGACACTTCAATTATACCAGACTCTTCAAAGCACTTCTCACAAAAAGCACTTCCTGTATCCTGGTAATTATTCTCACTCAAAGGTAAGAAGTGCTAAACCTCCGATTCATCATTCCAAACAAAGCTCTCCAGGCCAGCCAGGGGCACAGTGGTACCACAGTGCTCTCTCCAATGCTGGACCCACGTAGGAAGGTCCTGGATTCACATCCTGACACCTCCCTATAGACTCAGGGGGAAAAGGTGGGTTCCCAAAATCCCGGCTGAGTGAGTGTGAATCACAATGTGAATACCCCATTAGAGGTACTTCTGCTCTTTTCTCTCTCTGAAAAAAATAAACAAATGCACATATAAAAAAAAAATTGGACCAGCAGTTGGCATCATGATTAAGGCAGCTGGATCCCGTATGGCCAACTGCATAGTTCAAGTCTCAGGCTTGATGGCCTGAAAAACACATAGGGCGCATGTGTGTACATGCCCCAAATCTCAGAGGAGAATGGAGGAGAAGGGATTACAGCATGACCATCCCACCTAGGGGATGCTTTCTCACTTTCTCTCTGTCTCTCTCTGGCGAGTACATTCACCCTACAGCAAAGTTGAAAATATTGGGTTATCGGAAAAGTCATGATGTATACATCATAATGATAGTAATAAGTAGTAGGGGGCAGCAAGTGGCATGGTGGTTGGGGCATTAGACTCCCACATGGCTGACTGTGGTTTGAGTCCCAGAACTGGTGGCTTGCTTTCTCACTTTCCCTTTCCCTCTCTCTCTGTCTCTCTCTGGTCGAATAAACAAAAAATAAAGTAAATAATTCTTTTAAAAATAATAATAGAGATCATCAGATGGTGTAATGGTTAAGTCACTGAACTCCCACATGGCCGACCACAGTTCAACTACTGGACCCAGTGCCTTCAAACTCACACCAGCATGTGTGTGTGGGTGCCCAAGATCCTGAGAGAATAATGGAGAAGAAGGGATTGTGGCATGGCTATCACCCCTGGGGGGGGGGGGATATTTCTCGCTCTCTCTCTCCAGCAAGAGCACATGCCCTATAGTGAACGTCTCTTTTAAAAATAGTTCAATAATAATAATAAGTAACTTCCTGATGAAGCAAAGAGAGTTGGGCCTACTTTTATCTGGGGCACCCACCCCTAAGCACTCCTAGAGCTAAAACATTCTTCCCACCTGCAGGAGCCTCCATCGTTGGCGTGAACTGCCACTTCGACCCCACCATCAGTTTACAAACAGTGAAGCTCATGAAAGAGGGCTTGGCGGCTGCCCGACTGAAAGCCCACCTGATGAGCCAGCCCTTGGCCTACCACACTCCTGACTGCAACAAACAGGGATTCATTGATCTCCCGGAATTCCCCTTTGGTAAGGCGGGCCTTTGTAAATAGTCTCTCTAGCTCTGTGTGAGAAATGTCAAAATTATAGCCAGAGAGGTTTTGTCATAGTAAAGGAACGGCTGCACCTTTCCTAGTTCTTGCCCCTACTTTCTCTGTCTCCTGCAGCTAAACACCCTTGACATTAGCCAGTAGTAGAAGGAAAAGATGGGACCAGCTAGCAAAAAGGACCACGGACCTTCAGTGTCAAATCTGCACTGAGTCGGTCTCTAAACAGATAGTGCATTAGTCAGACTTGCAGGAGGGTAAGGAGAACACCACCCTCTTGGAGGGAAGTCAGCAGAGATTTGGTTCTGGGTGCAGCTCAGAGTTGTATGACTTTAGGAAAATCCTGGAATTCCACCATGGCTTAGCTTACTTACGATAAAAATAAGGTTAGGCCAGTTGTGTCCAAAGTCCTTTCCTCCTAATTTGAAGACTGCTCAGATACTCCAGGTATTTTGGCACGGGGGGACGATACCATCACTTGGGCACTGTATGAGAAATTTTAATGAAGAGACCAAACACATGACGGCAGGGATAATTTGTAGTCTAGTCAGGGATAAAGCCTCTCAGTATGTTTGAGTAGTGGGGGTGAGTCCATCTCAAAAATCAAGCCAGAAGCCCAGCCCCCGTGGTACAGTCAGTAGATACCAGACTGCAGAGCTGGGAACCACATGGGACCACAGTTTGAGTCCCCAGCCTGAAAGCACCATGAGCACACGCATGCCCAGCATGCTGGCAAGCTGGAGGGCTGGAGAAAGAGGATAGAGGTATGACTGAGCCTTGTGAAAGGTGCCCCTCTCTGTCATGCACACACGTGCTCTACCTGTTTTTGTTTGTTTATTTTTTAATCAAACCAGAGAGGTAAGCAGGGGCAGAGCATGGCCAGTTTTCGATTCTATTCTAAGGTCCTTCCTCTATATCCTCTAACCTATGGGCAACCTCAGAGAAGTAAGATATTATAAACTATAATCACACTGAATGAACCAGTGAGAAAGTGTGATAAGGCATTATTTACTGCTGTAGAATATATTAATGCAAAATTTAATGACCTAAACATGTGTATTATCTCATAGTTTCTGTAGGTAAAGAATTCAGTGGTTTTGGTTCAGGTGTCTGGAGAGGCTGCAGTCCAGACACTGGCCAGAGCTATCATCATCTTGGGCCTGATGGGCGCTGGGGGACCTGTTGAAAAGCTCATTCCTTTGGCTGTTGGTAGTTGGTGTCAGGGTCTTGCTGCCTGTTGATTGGAGGCCTTGGTTCTTCAGCTCATGGGCCTTCCCACTGTGAGGCCTGGGTGCTCTCACCACATGGCAGCTGGCTCCCCCTGGGTGAGTGCTCCAAGAGAGAACAAGACAGAAGCCATGTTTTCATACCCTAGCCTCTGAATTCACATGCCATCTTTTGCCATGTTCTGTTGGTCTCATACACCAACCTGACACAGAGCAGGAGGGGACAGCACGGGGCCACCAACGTCAGAGGGCAGGGAGCACTGAGAACCCTCGTGAAGGCTGGATACCACGGCACACCAAACCGCACAAGCACAAAGTACCTAATCATTTAAAAACTAACCATTGAATGTTGACCACTTGTTTAATTCATTTATTGAAAATAACATACTTACTAAAGCTATGCATCTTGAATTTTTTCATAAAAAGAATTCAGCATAATGCCATTTCTTACAGGACTGGAACCCAGAGTGGCCACCAGATGGGATATTCAAAAGTACGCCAGAGAGGCCTACAACCTGGGGGTCAGGTACATTGGCGGGTGCTGCGGATTCGAGCCCTACCACATCAGGGCAATTGCAGAGGAGCTGGCCCCAGAGAGGGGATTTTTGCCCCCAGCTTCAGAGAAACACGGCAGCTGGGGAAGTGGCTTGGACATGCACACCAAGCCCTGGATCAGAGCGAGGTAAGGACCTTTAGACTCCATTTGCTAACCCAAACACATTCAGATTTTGAATATGTCCATGCGAGGCCATTAGAAAGAGTTCAACTTGTGTTGTATGATGAGGAAGAGTCAGTCAGCCTTAAATTCTGAAACCGTGATGCTTATAAAGCATCCTATGGGGTGATTTCTGGAGAAGGCTGTAAGGAGATGGAATGAAAATAAGGTTAGTGTCAGTGACCTAGTAAAACACCATCCATGTGGTGAATACTAACATTGAATCCCATCGATTTTTAAGAAGTAAGTAGGACCTAAGTTTAACAAGTACTAATCCACTCTCTGTTTCATGTCAAGCACGATTTTCGAGCTGGGAATATAGTGGTAAATGAGACTGGCCAGCTCTTTGCCCTCAGAGCTTACATTCCAATAGTGGAGATGAATAATTACCAAGGAAACAAACAGTAAGTCAGGCACGTGCAGGGCCCTGGGAATACAGAAGTGAAAAGCTGTGACCTCTGGCTTAGACTCTCAGTCTCCAGGGGAAACTGGGTAGGAAAGCCAGTGCATAATACTGTGGGAACTGCTTCAGCAGAGGCAAGGGTAAAGTAACAAGAGGAAAGAATCGCTGTCCCGCCCAGTAGAAAGGTACTGGAGAAGAAGGGTTATTGGGGCTGGGTTTTAAGGGCTAAACAGGTTTCCAGTAGGTGAGAATAAAGGGGATGAGAGAAGGAGAAGGAGCAGAAGGAGCCCATTCAGGTGCACTTAGCGGACATTGACGGGGCACCACTGTCAGCCACTGTTGTGGGTACTGAGACTACAAGCTGGAGAAGGCTCAGCCCTGTTCCCCAGGAGTGGACACTGTTGTTAGCAAAGCAATAAGCAAGTAAGGGCGAATGGGAAGAGCAAGTTCAAGGATGAAAATCTGCGCCAGGGAGAGGGGGCTGAAGTGGTTCCCCAAGGGTTTCTCGCCGCTGTTGCCTGAGCTGTAGGTCGAAGGACGAATTACATCACTAGGCGAAGGAATGGCCGGATGGAGCACACTGAGGGTGCAAAGTGCAAGGTGTATTGAGAACCTAGCAGTTTTAGAATACCAGAGCCCAATTTGATAGACACTTTCCAAGAAGTGAGATTATTCTCATGAGCTCGTAGGATCTTATCCCAAAGGCGGCAAGGGAGGGTTTCATGTGACCCAGGATGAGGATAGATGTGTGAATCAGAAAAGTGAGAAAGCCTGGCTAGAAGGGACACCAGGCCCTGAACTAAGAGGAGGCCATGGGAACTGGAAGGCCAGAGACAGAAGTTGAATCCACTGAGTCACAGGCAGGGGCATAAATCTGTGTGTGGGAAGAGCCAAGATGTGAGACGCAGCTGGTTCCTGAGGTAGAGCCAGATGTGAGGTGGGAGAGGAAGCAGGCCAGATGTGATGTGGGAGATGAATCAGGAATGGGTGGAAAGTAGCCTGATTGTGGGCTGGCTAAGTCTTGACACAATGGTCATGGACTACTGAAGAGAAGTTAGATCTCATTTAGCAACCATGGTTCAAATCCCCAGCCCGATCAGCTGAAACACACCGAGCACGCAGGCAAGTGCCCTCGATCCCACAGGCATGAGGACTGAAGGAAGGGGGTCACCTCATAACCAGACCCTGCCGAGGGTGCTCCTCTCTGCCTCTTCCTGTCTCTCTTCCTCTCTCTCTCTCGGTCATGTGTGTGCCTGTTCTCTCTCGGTCATGTGTGTGCATGTACTCTCTCGTGAATGAAAAGAAAATGGCCTGATTTTAAATTCTTGGCTTTTGATCCCTTAGATACGTATTAATATATTAAAAGAAGAAATTCAAAGTAATATGAGACCTGAGATTCAGGAGTGGAGGAGGAGGTTTTATTTAGATTAATAGTGCGTTTTACCAGATGGTCTCTGAGGGCGTCATCCAGCTCAGTGACAGAGACATGCTCGGGAAATAGTCTGACCCTGTGTGTTCTGTTCTCACAGGGCCAGGAAGGAATACTGGGAGAACCTTCGGATTGCCTCAGGGAGGCCCTACAACCCTTCCCTGTCGAAGCCAGATGCCTGGGGTGTGACCAAAGGGGCAACTGAGCTGATGCAGCAGAAGGAAGCCACGACTGAGCAGCAGCTGAAAGAGCTCTTTGAGAAACAGAAATTCAAATCTGCACAGTAGCCGTAGTGGCACATCTTTCTGTGAATCCTGCTGTCTGGGCCCAGTTCCTACAAATAAGGACACAATGGGTAGAACAGCAATGCTCGTATTCATGCCAGTCCTCACATACAACTGGCAGTAGCTAAATGAAGTAGATAGCACTGGACAATTTTGAAAGTATGTTTTAGACGTTTACTTTAGAAAGAAAATAAGTACAGGGCAAACCCTAAACAGGTTTACTGAGCCCCCACCACGCTCAGGTTTTATGGAAATCACTGCAACAAAGACAAGCAATCCAGACATTAGTCCCACTTCAAGTCGGTAGGCTAGCAAGGAGGGCCAGCCCTGAGCTGTCAGCAAGGACTCTGCACCTGGCCAGGGGCTTTGAAGTGCTGCCAAGCAGCTCCCAAGCTCCTTTGAACAGAGACACAATGTAGATCATTCTGATTCAGTAAAACACATACAACCATCAAAATGAAATGAATAGTCCATCCTGGTATATTCTCCTCTATTCCTCTTATCCTGTTTTATTAATAAAACATATTGGTTGGGACCCTTCTAATTGGTTTGTGTGACTCATTCATGGGTTTTGACCCACTGTTTGAAAAACAGTGCTATGGGACTCTTCAGGTATGGGGATCAGCCTATATAGATTTATTTTCATAAGAACAGCAGCCATACAGAGCCTGATCAATAAGTATCTGAAGCTCAAAGCCCTGTGGTCAGAATTCCTGAGGTCCGTTTCCTGGCCTATTCCTCCACCAGAAACAGGATACCAAAGGAGAGCTGGAAGGAGGAGAGAGGGGTACCCCTAGCCCTCTCCAGCATGCCGCACACTGCGTCTGCCGAAGTGCCTCCAGCCAGTCGGGCTGAGCAGCTGTGAGCTTGGTTTTTAAAGCTACCAGAGAAGCTTTTTTATCAGAAAAAATAGTTTCTTCAAACTCTATATACATTTCCTAGGTCGAGGACTAAACTATATTTACTTGGTACATTAACATCTACTCTCCTGACAATGCAAGACTGTTAGAATCAACATGGCTACCTTTAATGTATTAGAAGAGAATTCATGCTGCTTTCTGAACATTCTTGGATTGGTTGCACTGTTTCGAAACTGAAATTTTTCTCCAGCTATTAAAAGAGAAATGAGACTACCTTAGTTGTATATTTCTACAATTTGCTAAGGCCTGTATGAAATCTCTGTATCTCAGTTTCACCATCCATTAAAAAAAAAGTAACAATACTACCTACCTGCTTCACTGACATGGTGGAATTTGGGGAAAAGAAGTTTCCAGAATTTTATTACTAAGAGCATTACCAATCCATTCTTCCTCACACAATGCAAAGAAATGGAGCCAAAGCAGCACAACTTACAGACGTTGCACATGGTGAAAATGAAATGAGTGCACTACTTTAGCAAAGTTGCTAGCTGCAATTTCTCATATTCTCTAATCAAGTTCCATATTTAATATTATCATTAACAGATGATAGACACTTTATTGGATTTACTATTCTTTTTAAAAGAATTATTTATTTAACATTTATTTATTTATTTATTTATTTATTTATTTTAATTTGACCAGAGAGATGCAGAGGGGGAGAGAGAGAGAAGCAAAGTGAAAAAGCAAGCCACCACATCTGAGACTCAGAGGTCAGCCGTGTGGGAGTGTCCAGTGCCTTAACCACCACACTACCTGTGGGTTCCAGATTAGTAATTCGTATACTACACAAGATGTATATCACTTTAATATTCTTTTTTTTGGGGGGGGGGATTTGTGTTGTGGAGTGAGTGTGCTTGCCAGAGAGATAGAAAGCGATAAATAACTCCCCGGGGGGGGGGGGGGATGGCCATGCCACAATCCCTTCTCCTTCATTCTCCTCTCAGGATCTGGGGCATGCACGCACACGTGCCTGGTGTGAGTTTTTAATCCTCAGGGTCCAGTACTTGAACCGCGTAGGTTATGTGGGAGTCCAGCAACATAACCATTATGCCATCTGTTGGTCTCCACTTTAATATTCTTTTCAGAGCTTTATTGTTAGGCAAAATATCATAATCTTTAATCATCTTTATAAGATTAATATACATAATTTTCCCCACAATAGAATCTGTGAAGAGATTCTTGAATTAAATTGTGTGTCAACACTGCCGCCCAGTGGTATATTTCATCTTTTGACATTCAGCCTTGCCTCTAAGCATACTCAGTTGATTTCCAGAAATCTTATTCATTGAAAGGAAAGGCTCATTTATTACCTAAGTGTTAAGGGCATGACTGTTAAGGTAGGACCAAGTTGCGAAGCATTTCGTGCTAGGTCACAGCTGCCAAGAAAGGTGACTTTAGCTTAGCCTCTTGGTAGAGGAGAGGGGAACCAGGACAGATGGAATCACCCAACAGCCAGGAAATAAAGGTCCTTAGTGTTCCTCAGAGTTGACATAAACTCACTGAATAAATCATTTCCTGC